GCTCAAGCGAGTCTCCTGCCTCAGCCTCCCAAGTAGCTGGAACCACAGGCACCCGCCACAACGCCCAGCTATTTTTTGGTTGCAGCCGTCATCGCTGTCTGGTGGGCCCAGGCTGGATCCGAACCCACCACCTTGGGTGTACGTGGCTGGTGCCTTAGCCACTTGAGCCACATGCACTGAGGCTTTCTTTTCTCTTTTCCCTCTCCTTTCCTCTCCTCTCCTCCCCTTTTCTCCCCTCCCCTCCTCTCCTCTCTTTCCCTCCCTCCCTCCTCTTTTCTTTCTTCCCTTCCTCCCTCCCTCCCTTCCTGCCTTTCTTCCTGTCTTCCTTCCTTCCCTCCTTCTTTCTTTCTCTTTTGTTTTGGCAGGTTCTTGCTCTGTCACTCAGGCTGGAGTGCAGTGGTATCTCCTAGCCCTCAAAGTCCTGGGCTTAAGTGATCCTCCTGCCTTGTTCTCCAGGCTAACCAGAACCACAGCAAAGTGCTACCCCACCAGGCCCTTTTTTATTAATAGATAGAGTTTTGAACTGCTAGCCTCAAATAATCCTCCCATCTTGGTCTCCCAGAGCCTCCATGTCCTGCCTTTAAAACAATTTTGATTGAAAAAAATCTAGAACAGCACTCATAACTCAGTGGGTAGGGCGCCGGCCACATACACCGAGGCTGGCGGGTTTGAACCCAGCCTGCTAAAACAACAATGATGACTACAACAGAAAGATACCCAGGCATTGTGGTGGGCGCCTATAGTCCCAGCTACTTGGGAGGCTGATGCTTAAGCGCAAGAGTTGGAGGTTGCTGTGAGCTGTGACATCATGGCACTATACTCAAGGCGACAGCTTGAGACTCTGTCTCAAAATAAATAAATAAATAAATTAAATAAAAAGAAAAATATACATAGGAATAAAAGTCTGTCTTTCTCCCTTCTTACTTAATTTACTTAAAGTATACTGTTTGGGCTCACAAATCATAACACAAAATTGTTCTGATGTTAAATGTCACATATTTGTATTTCACAAGTATTTTGCTGAAGATGTATTTGGAAAACATTTTAGGGAGAGTTGCTCATTCTTCACCATGGAATTTCTAGCATTAGGAATTTCTAGCTAAATTAGCAAAGCTATTTGGATTATTAGACATAAACTATTTCAGAACTGCCTGTAATAATAAAGTGGTTAGATAGATCAATGGCAATAGTCTTATGTTTGATTTTGCATTTGGGTTCCCAATTATCAGTGTGGAGCACTGAGAAAACTCAGAGAAAAAACTTCACTTATTTTCAAATCATTTCTTTGTTCCATATCACACCCTGCACCAGGCAGTGCTTGGTGTATGCCTTCCACATAGTTTCTGTCCCAGTCATCATTGCTTACATGATTATATAATAATGATGACAACAAAAAGGTAATTACTTTGCCTGACATCTGTTTTATTTTTCTGCTTAGCAACTAACTTTTCCTATCACTATTTTTCTTTCGATTAGACACAAACAACACAGCATGGTTCTTGTTCCTATCAACACACCTGGAGTAGAAATAATAAGACCTTTGTCAGTTTTTGGCTATATGGGTAAGTACTCAGTAAATATCCCCATGCATTAGCAAGCAAGAAGATTAAAATATGCATTAACATTGCAGGGAATAGATAGCATTTTAATACAGGGTGGACATAAAGTTCATGTGCAATTTAAAATAGTTTGACATAGTAAATTACACACAAACCTTACGTCCACCCTGCATATGAGATGTATTCTTAGAAATCTCTTTGGCTCTGACAACTGTCTTAATATAAATGCCAGAGGAGTTCAGAATGGAACAAATAAAACTAAACTTTTGTTTAGTTTTCAGGAAAGGACAGATTGTAAGAAACAATAACTCCACCAGTCTTGTCTCTGTCATCCATGAGAATGAATTAATGAGAGAGACACAGATAAATTAAATCTAGGTAATCCACAGTGACATTTATTTTTATCTCCAAGTTTAGCTTTCATGATCTATAAGAACTGTTAATAAGCAATGAGTTTTGACTTACTTGAGTACAGACTTTTCCTTCCTTCTGCCCTTGAGTGGAATTTCTGAGAAGCAGGATTCTTTTCTTTCCTGCACCTGCTTTGGGCACATCTGTTATGTCCATGCTGTTCAGGTCACCCACTCAGCAAGTACCATGTTTCCCCCAAAATAAGACACTGTCTTATATTTATTTTTTCTCAAGAAGACACACTAGGGCTTATTTTCAAGGGATGTCTTATTTTTATTAAGTACAATACAACCATCTACATTTATTCAAATACAGTTAAGTTATCTTCTTCTGGAACCTGACAGGGGGAGCCAACCTTGTTGGTGGGGCTGGCGCTAGTGATGCGTACACTCCTTTCCCCTAGCTGTACACCCACGCGATAGGATACCTGCAACCGCAGTTACTACATGCACACCCGTGCAAGTGGGAATGGCTCGGAAAAAGGAGCTGTGGCAGATAAAAGGTATTCCAGTCTTCCTTACCACTCCATGCTAAAATGCATGGTGTGACTATACAGATAGGCCGCATAGCCACATCCATCACTAGGTCTTATTATCGGGGTAGGGTTTATATTTAACAAATGCATAGAAATCCTGCTAGGGCTTATTTTGGGGGTAGGTCTTATTTTCGGGGAAACATGGTCTTTATTGAGCACGGAGTTCTACTAGGTATTAGAATGCATTAGAAAACACAGTCAACTAAGATCCTTGCCTTTGAGGAGATTACAAGAAGACAGGAAATAACTATGAACACATAGAGTTGATGAGTAAATTATATAGAATGTTAGCAGGTGGTAAATACTTTGGAAAAATTGATTGAACTTGAAGTTCTGTGGTGACTCAGGTTTCCCCTATATAATTTAATACAGCTAATAAATACATTCAAGTGGAAAACAGAAGACTTGTAGTTTTATAGAACATTTGACATCCTCACCTTCTGTAGGATGCAGCTGTAGGATGGGCCCACAAATTAAGCTTAGGTGGCAAGATGGTATAAACAAGCTCACTGGGAACTAACTGCACATGAGAAATTGTTGGCTTGTAGAGCTATAGCCTGAAAGACACCAAAAGTGTATTTAAAATATACTTCAGGCTCGGCGCCTATAGCTCAACCGGCTAAGGCGCCAGCCACGTACACCTAAGGTGGCGGGTTCAAATCCCCAGCCCGGACCCGCCAAACAACAATGACGGCTGCAACCAAAAAATAGCCGGGCGTTGTGGCGGGCGCCTGTGGTCCCAGCTACTTGGGAGGCGGAGGCAGGAGACTCGCTTGAGCCCAGGAGTTGGAGGTTGCTGTGAGCTGTAATGCCACGGCACTCTACCCAGGGGGACAGCTTAAGGCTCTGTCTCAAAAAATAAATAAATAAATAAATAAAAATAAAAAAATAAAATATACTTCAGCTGCAAATAGAATCCATTGCAGAGACTACATTTGAATTTTCAGTATGAAAAATCTCCCAGCACCTCTCCAATGCCCTATGTCCAAGGCCAAAAGAAACAGTGTGGAGAAAGTTGATTATTAATATCTATTCTGGCAGGAAAAGGGTGTAGAGTCAGCATGAGATTATCTCTAGAACTTGGCAAGGAAGAGGAAGGATAATACAAAGATGTAAATGTGAATGTGTTCCCAGTCTCAGTGATTCAAATTTGCAGGAGGCAAACCCACAGTAGAACAAGTACAGACTGGGCGTGAACCTTCCGATTGCTGAGTAGTCACTAACTCCAAACCTCCTCTGTCACTTCAGGCAGGCCCTGTGCAGCGTCAGGCTGGAAAATGAGGACTCGGATTTATACCACTTACTTTCAAGTTTTTAAACATTGAAACTTTTTTTTCTTTGAGCAAAATCTTTTCCTAAGCAAAACTTTTTTTGGAATCCCATATATAAAATATTTCAAAGAAGTAATAATAAAACAATAATAAAATGGTATGGGGTGGGCAGTGCCTGTGGCTCAGTGAGTAGGGCACCAGCCCCATATACCAAGGGTGGCAGGTTCAAACCTGGCCCCAGCTAAAGTGCAACCAAAAAATAATTGGGCGTTGTGGTGGGTATCTGTAGTCCCAGCTACTCAGGAGGCTGAGGCAAGAGAATCGCCTAAGCCCAGGAATTGGAGGTTGCTGTGAGCTGTGATGCCACAGCACTCTACTGAGGGTGACTAAGTAGACTCTGTCTCTACCAAAATAAGAAAAAAAGGTCTGGATGGAGCTGTGGAGCCCAGTCTTTCTTTTTCATAGCTCTACAACTTAAGAGAATGAATTAGAAAGCCCCTGGATCAAATGATTTGTAAGATCTCTCTAACTTGAAGAGTTGATGAGTTTTCTGGGCTGCTAGGGGGTTCTGGGCTCAGGTCTACCCAGGACTGTTCATGAAAAGGGAGTCATTTAAATCTCACTTTCTTTGACTAATTATACTTTGGCCGATTAACTAATGTCTCAGATTGCTCTTCTGAGAAGAACTTGAATCTACTTTGGCAGATTAATTAATGTCTCAGATTGCTCTTTAAAATTTTATTTTCTATTTTATAGACTATTTGCATGGAGGACATTTTGAGATCCATTTTAATCAAGTACGAGTTCCTGCCACCAATTTAATACTAGGTGAGATAAATTTGGATAAATGATTCTCCAGTATTGCATAATAGTATTTTTAGGACTAACTCTGGGAAAGATATGCAGTCTACCTTAACTTAGACAATTTCCTTTCTTTTTGCTTTGTTTATCAAGGAAAAGTTTTCCACTTGATGGAGTTTCCCAGGTGGAATGGTACGGCTTTTTTCAAGCATTGGATGTGGCTTTGTAATCACATCCATTGAAAAAATTGGCTAACTATAATGCAATTCAGAGCAACATGCTTTTTCCTAAAACAGAATCTTTAGGCCTCTATTTGTTCTAAGAAAGCCTCAGTACTTTTTGAAGTCAAGTCTTATATACAAGGTAGAAGCATAAATAACTTGAACACTATATGCCCGAAATCACTCTATCCTCTTGCTCATGGAAATCCTACGCAAACCTCAGTGAACCTCTCAGAAATGATTTTGTTTCTCACCCCATTTACACCCCAAGCCACTGACCCTGCAGGCTCTAAACTTATAATGGTGAACAGAAAATCTTTCTCTTCTGCATTTTTTGTTTCTTTCAATAGCCCATATCCTTGCCCCCTCTTTTGGGTTCTAAATTCTCAGTGTTGGGACTGTATCTTATCCACCCTTGTATCTATTGGCACTAATAAAGTAGCTCAAGAGATAGTGCTTTCCTTAGATTGAAATATTTAATGAGGGTGGTTTTTAAAGCAGAAATAACTTCATTATAAAGCTGACTCTTTTTTCACCAGAATGACATTTTTATTGAGGGCAGCTCATCATTTGCCCACGATATGTATGGATAAGGAAAGGAATGTGTTGGACCCTTTTCAGGTTCCCCTTTTTTTCTTACAGGTGAAGGTAGGGGATTTGAAATTTCCCAAGGCCGCCTGGGACCTGGCAGAATCCACCACTGTATGAGAACAGTTGGTTTAGCGGAACGTGCTTTGCAGATCATGTGTGAACGGGCATCACAAAGAGTAGCCTTTCAGAAGAAACTGTATGCACACGTAAGGATGATCACTTACTGGGATTTCTACAGCCCAGTGTACCACACTAACCTTGGTCAGGAACACTACATAGTGAAAGTTTTCCTCTACATGAACAAAGTGATTATTTCCAAAAAGCATACTTATATCTATATTTAAATATGATTATTTTAGCCAGGCACGGTGGTTCATGCCTATAATCCCAGCATTCTGGGAGGCCAAGGCAAGTGGATTGCTTGAGCTCAGGAATTTGTGACCAGCCTGAGCAAGAGCAAGATCCCGTCTCTACTAAAATCAGAAAAGTAAACTGGGCATTGTGATGGGTTCCTGTAGTCCCAGCTACTCGGAGGCTGAGGCAAGAGAATCATGTCAACCCAAGAGTTTGAGGTTGCTGTGAGCTGTGACACCATAGCACTCTACCCAGGATGACAGAGTAAGACTCTGTCTCAAATAAATAAATAAATAGGAGCATAGTCTGATGAGAGGGATTTATCTTCGTGAAAAGTGAAATAACTTCGAAAGTGCTTCAACACCTCAGCACAGAAGAGTATGGATACGTTCTTCACTTCACCTTTCTCAGATTCTCATTCTCTAGACAGCCCGGTGCATTAGAGCTCTCTGTGGACGTGAAGAGGCTGTCATAAGGAAGAGGGATTTGCCTTGTCTTTGGTTTCCTAAAAGAAACTAGGAAAGATAAGTATAAAGATACAGGAGGAGATTTAAAGAAGGAACGGACTGCCTCAGGAGGACTTGAGTTCCCTATCACTGGAGAACTCCAAGTACAAATGGGACCAGAATGGGATGTTCATGACTTTTTAAATTTTGATCTATAAATTATATACTACCAAGTCTGTTGTTTACAAAACACTATAAATATAGTGCCATAGAATCAAAATTAGGAAATATTGATTGAGAGAAAAAAGAAGTATCATTTCAGAATTCTTTGGAAAACCTTTTACAGCAAGATGGGATACCCAAATCATCTACCTTCTAAATTTTAAGAATTCAAGAAAGGCTGGGAACAGGGGCTCACACTTGTAATCCCAGCACTTTGGGAGGCCAAGGCAGGAGCATCACTGGAGACCAGGAGTTTGAGACCAGACTGAATAACATAGCAAGACCCTGTTTTTAGGAAAACTTTAAAAAATAGCTGGCTATGGTGGCATGCACCTGTCGTCCTAGCTACTCAGGAGACTGAGGCAGGGGGATGGTTTGAGCCCAAGAGTTCAAGGTTACAGTGAGCTGTGATAATGTCCCTACATTCTAGCCTGGGTGACAGTATTTATTTAGTGTAGTATTTATTTATTTGTGTCAAATAAATAAATGAGTGAGTGAATGAAAGAATGAAGCAAGAACAATTGTTATTAAGCATTTACTATTTATTGTTGCTAACATGTTAGTGTTAAGTCAAACTTGTGATAGGTCCGCGTTCATGTTTGTTGGACGTGTCTATTTTAGCACATCGGTCTCCTCGTAAAGTATATTTATGGCCATCTTGTAAAATTTTGGAGTGTATCTTTTACCTTAAATTCTTTTAAGCTTGCTTTTAGTGAAGTGTTATTCAGCATATATGTGATTTATTTGCATTATTGGTTTTGTGAACAATACAGCCTGCCTCATGACACCACACCTGGGGCTGATTTGTGGAGAACCCCTTTAGTATACAGTGAGGGCAAAGGTTCTGCTGTTGGGTGGGAGGAGGTAAGACTGTGTGACCTTGTAGGGCCATGGATACATCCCTGCTGTTCCTGAAAAGGGACTGGAGGGCTGCTCATGGCACCCATCATTCCTTCTTCCCCTCTTGGGTCAAGTTTGTCACGCAGACTCTAGAGTAGGATGATGTGCAGACATGGTACATTGGATAGACAGACATCTTGAATGCAAAAAAAGTACTCTGCCTGGGTGCTGCTTTCATGCATGTTAGTTTAATATGTACTAGAGAGACATTTCCCTCCGCCCTTTAATGTGTCATACAGAGCAAGTCTGGGCTTTTTAAAAACTTGCCTTTCTTCACTGGAAACTTCTCAGATCTGGCACAAATGAAATGATCTGGCAGAAACAGAAAGAGATGTATGAGCATGTCATAAACAAAAATGTGAGCCAGGGTTTTTTTCTAATTTGTGAAAGGAATATTCCATTTCCCTGAATTTGGAGAATCCTTCCAGCTGCCTTCTAAATTTTTCCAGGCTGTAAAGCACAAATTTCTCAGTCAATGTTCTGCCTTAGTAATTTGGCGGCTCCCTAGAACATTGAGTTTCTAATCACTGAATGCTTTTCAGCAAAATCTAGGGATCCTTAGAGACCCAGCTGAGAATGTCCTTTATTTTAAAGTGGATAAGTAAATGCATTTGGAATCTGTTCATGAAGTTAAAACCAGTTTTACAGCCATCAAAAAATATTCATTGACTGCTGTCAGCTTGTTTGAAATTGTTAACTCTGAGTTTTAACCTCTAAGGCAGTGTCATTCAATAGAAATATGCTGTGAGCCACCATGTAATTTTAAATTTGCTAATAGCAACATTTAAAAAAAAGAAAAAGAAACAGATGAAGTTAATTTTAATAATGTATTTTATTTAACCCAATAGATACAAAATGTCATCATTTGAACGTAAAATCAATATAAAGGCTCGGCGCCTGTGGCTCAACCGGCTAAGGCGCCAGCCATGTATACCTGAGGTGGCGGGTTCGAATCCCCAGCCCGGACCCGCCAAACAACAATGA